GTGAGTCCCGGGGCGTGGAGGCTGGTGGCCAGCTAGGTCCTCCTGAGCTGCATTACTTCCAAGCATATCTACAAGTACTGTACCTAATACTACTCCTGCCACTCCCAGTGTTATTTCTTGCCACAGTTGTTGTGACAGAGATGCCAGCTGTTAAGGTAATACCTTTGTTATGGTGAAATAGTTTTATGATTTTGGGAGTGTGATGTGTATGTTGGAGGATTTGATACAAAAACATTGGAAAATCTGTTCCTATGGCCAGACTACTTGGGGCTGCAGCTGAATGTCATCTTAGTTTTTGCCAAGTTTGTGTGCTACTAGCTAATATTAGGGTTGTATTTTCAGGCATTGGTATAAACACAGTCTTAATAGACAAGTAAGTAGGTTGGCCACTTACTTTTTAAAGTAGCTTGGTGGAAATGGGTCAGGCCTAGGTAGAACCATGCCTGCAGTCATTGTTAATGTTGAAAGAAACTTGGATCAAGATTTATACTTTGTACTTCCTTTTTTATTAGAACTTCAATCAGTTCAAGTATTTTAAATATTTTTTTTTTTTTTGTTTAATTTGAATGAATGCAAAGTAGAAAGCTTGGCTTGATTTCTTCATGATATACCACTGGAACTTTTAACATTTGTGTGTGGAACGTGTATATTTTGTTTGAAAGATAAGAAAAAAAGGTATAGCATATTGATTGAGATATAGCCTATATGTGAGTGAAGAATAACTATGTTACTTACAAATACTTTTGAAGCACATGTACTGGAGTTCTGGTAATATGGTTCTTAGCATAGCATTTTAATAGAGCACTTTATGGTGTGTGTTTAAGGATAAAGTATACCTAGGGTACAGTCAGTGACAGTAATGGAGTTTCAGTTCATTTAACAGTGTATCACATGCCCGGGTAACAAAATAAGGTCTTAAATTTGCACCAGGCTCATGCAAATCTTCCATTGCATTGACATTATTATTTGAAATACAGTTCTTAACATAAAAGTAAAGTACAAAGTGCAGATAGATACGGTCTGTGTCTTAGTCCATAATCTTTGTTCACATAAATGTAGTTTATGCATTCAGCCTAATAAAACTGAACCTTTGCAATTAGGTAATTGTTTTAGCAACAAGTTTATTTGAATAGAGTGGATGGTTTTCAGCTTAAAGTACTTCAAGTATAGTGGTACACTATGAAACCATTACAACGCATGATAGTCAACAGGATAAGTGTGAAATAACATTTATGGTTTTAAGAACGGCCGTCTTTTCTTAGTATAACTATGAAATTCTGTCTGATGTGGCTGGTGCTGTCACCTACTCTCTCTGTGTAGGTTGCTGGTTGGTTAGGGGTTTTTGTGTCTTTCTAATGGCAACAAAAACATTCATATCCTTTTCCCCTTCTCCCTTCCTCTGCAACCTGTTGGTATCCAGTGCAGGATGCATTTCCTGTCTGTTTTCATGCTCTGTTTGAAAATCGGTGGGTTAGTGCTCTTTGTCTCATTTTCCCCTCCCTGGCAGTGCAGGGTCCCTCCTGCTTCCCTTGGCAGAGCCTTTTGTCTGCTCCCAGCCTGGACAAGTATAAAATTTGCTGCTCACAGCAGGGGCTTCTTCATATGTGGTGTTCCTCCCCCTCTTCACCCATTGCTGCATTCCATTCCATGTCTCCCAAGTCAAGGACCACTGTGCTGCCTAAAACCCTCTTATCAGGACTTCCTCGTCCTTCCCACTCCTTCATGTGTCCTTGAGTACATTGGGCAGGCAATGTACTCAACTTGCAGCAGGAAGGGTCAGGATGTAATTGGTAAAAGTTCATGGTATCTTTCCCTCACAGACTGCTTATGAGCTGTGGGGGATTTTTGGTGTGATAAAGAGATGGAGTTTTCTTTCTCATGTGAGATGAGTGAGGATCTTTCTAGTTTCCTTTCTTCTTTTCTGGTTTGTTCTCCAAGTTGGAGGTGAGCTGAACTGTTTTTGTTTCAGATCATGGTATGTGCAAGTCTGGTGCAGTGATTTTTGAGATGCATCACTGGTATTTTGGAGAGTGCTGGGGAGCACAATGCTGTTGGTGCGTATATATCAAATAAATAAGTAAAGCACCAGTGATGTTGCATTGATTCCTTGGGACATTTTGCTGGTTAAGGTTGCAACAGCTAATAGGCAAAGGGGAGTGCCCTTCACACTGAACAGTGAAAAATGAAATCTGAGGGGCGTGGTTTAATGTGAACTGCATTTCTAATATAGGACAAGATGATCTCCAGAGGTCCCTTCCAACCCTAACAATTCTGCCATTCTGTGACCTTTGCCCATTTGTGGAGTATGTGTGGGAATATTGCCATGTCTTCTTGTGGTTTAGCTTTTTTTATCAAGTTTCTTATGGTACTGAGGCCGTGCTTGGACATCAAGAAGAAGTATTGTTTGAAGGTGGCAAATGCAGTTGCTTTCCTTCTTGCTGCCTGGCACAAAAATCCAGGGTGATCTGGGGAGAAGGATATACAGAGTACAGCAGCAGGCTTAAAGGTCTTCATCAGGTGTGCCTTGAGTACAGTTCTGGAGGCTGTCAACACTTTGGGGTTTTTTTTTTTTGTTACTGGTTGGTTTTTGGCAACACCACTTTTGTGGGTTGGGGGGGACGTTTTTAACTGTTAATTTTTTTTCTCTCCCTCTGATATTCTCCTGCAGGTTCTTTGCCAGAAGGGTTTATAGAGTCATGAGGAGGTTGTGCCTGTCAAGGGGGGATGTCAGCCCCGCCTTCCAAGGACTGGAGGACTGAAAAGGGGGAAGGACCAGAATTATTTGATACAGGCTGCTTTTAGCTACTGACACAATCTGCTGTACCCTAGTGGTGGTGGAAGAACAGGAGAGTCTCTGCTGCTTGGTTCTGTGGTACCACCACAGTGGGATCACCATGAATGTGACAAGTTTATTCTCCTTCACCAGCCCAGCAGTGAAGAGGCTGTTGGGATGGAAGCAGGGGGATGAAGAAGAAAAATGGGCAGAAAAGGCTGTCGATGCGTTAGTGAAAAAGCTGAAGAAGAAAAAAGGTGCTATGGAGGAACTGGAAAAAGCATTAAGCTGTCCTGGTCAGCCCAGCAACTGTGTCACAATTCCTCGTTCCTTGGACGGTAGGCTTCAGGTTTCGCACCGGAAAGGACTACCACATGTAATTTACTGTAGAGTGTGGCGCTGGCCGGACCTGCAGAGCCATCATGAACTGAAACCACTGGAATGCTGTGAGTTTCCCTTTGGTTCAAAACAGAAGGAGGTTTGCATCAATCCCTACCACTACAAGAGGGTAGAGAGTCCTGGTAAGTTCTTCCTTGTTTGTACCTTTACACCTTATCTGAACAATGCGAAGTATGGCAATTAATCCTGTGACTCACCAGCTTAAATAAGCAAAAGTGGCTGTTTGCACATGTCAGATTCTTCCTCTGCAGTTTATCTGAATGTAAGTGTTAATTAGCAGTTCTCTCTTTCACATGGCAAATGCTTCACTTGTGTAAATGTTTTATCACTGTAGAGAGCCATAGTCTTAATATATGCCTCAGGCTGCTGGGCTTGGTATAATCTGGTTTTGTTGGTGACCACTATCCCTCAATTAGTTTGGTTTTTACGGTGCAGACCAATCTATACAAAACACTGCAAGCTAACATAAAGGATTATTGCAGTCTATGCATGAAAACCATACTGACATACTGCAGTAGCGGTATTATTATTTCCGAATTACTGTTATCTTCTGTCACTTCTGTTTCTTCAGACCCCCAAAGAAAATATTGTCTTTAGGATCTCCCAGTTTTGTCCTTTTGAAAAGACTGTAATTTTAGACAGCAGAATATAATCGCATCAGTTTAAAGCTTTGATAGCAGTGTTTCATTGTATGTGAAGTTTTACCATCAGCCTTTCTATAAGTGCAGTTTGCTTACCCGCTACCCACTTCAAGTTGTAACCCATTCTTGCTGTCTCCTCTTGAAAAGCCAAATCTCTTTTTGTTAAATCTGTGCTTAACTTATGCAAGTTTATTATCAGGGAATACTCCCAGGGGCTAAGATGAAATGTGCTTGGGCACATCTACACTAGTTTCCAGCTACTTGTGAGGTTGTACAGGGACATCTGCAGAAATGCACTGCAGGCATGGGTGGACTTCTGTGGTTTAAATATGGGAAGTCCATCTGTGTTAGGCATTCCATAAACTGCAAAGCTGCCTCTCCAGAGTGACATGGACACTTTAAGAACTACAGTGAAAATCAGATAGTTGCAAGGTTGTTTTTCTGGGGATGGAAATTGCATTTGTCTTGGATCTGCAACACATAATGTATATCGAGATGTTAAATATTTCCCTTTGGTGTGTTAGTATTAACTTGGAAAGCATGTGAATGGCAGAGGTAATACCCATAATATATGTAGTTATGCAGCAGAAGCTTGGAAAAATGAACTCTGCACTGGAAAAACAGTTCTTAAAAAATATAAAATTAAAAAAAATAGGTTGAAATTCTTAACAATTCCATGTTAGGCAGAAGTGGGATAACTATTCCTGGAGAGTAGTTATGTCCTTGTACTGCTAGCTGTTTGCATATCTCTCTGCTAGTTGTTTACATTCAGTGTTCCAAAATATTGAAAATTGAGATTCCTGAAAGATGTCTATTTCTGTCAGATTGAGCAACAGTTGGATTCTCTTATTGTAATGTCAAATGACATGGTCTAGCTCATTTTGCTTTAGTCTTGAAAACAATTACTCAGTTTCAGAACATTCTCATTTGGGCCATCTATACCATATTTAAAAATAGGTATTTGTAAACCTATTGTCACTATGTAAAATAGAATAACATTTTGAAAAGATGTCTGAAGTGTACATTTTAGCTGAGTGCTGCTAAGTAGCTTAAGTGGTTAGAAAGCTGGGGTTTGCATGTTAAGTCATCTTACGAATTTTGTGTTTGGGAAATGAAGCAAAAAGGTATTAACTGTAAGCTTGAATTCTGGGTTGCTCTTAATTGGTTTTGGATGAGATAAAAATCTCTACATTTATGTAGCTACAGAATTTTTGTTGGGGAAAAAAAAAATCCAAACCAGTAACTTAAGTTGGAGATGGTAGAAATAAAATGCTTTCTATTTTGTCCAGAGAATACCCTTCTTCAGGAGAAACTAGATGTGTTGCCTAATGGGCAGCTGGGCAGTTTTCCTGTAAGCATTAGGGCTATAGTCAGTTTGATGGAGCTGACACGAGTATTCAGTCTTTCACAATGTCAATGTGTTGCTCTAAAGACTTAAAATATCCTGGAGGTAGCTGCTGACCAGGTGCTACTGTAAACTTCTGCTGAGGTGCCCTGTTAAATCTGGGTCTGGAGGTACAGTGTTATATACATGATGAAGTTACGTCTTGAACTTTAAACAGCTTGGATGAGTGAGAGTGGGGTCGAAGCCCACTGTGGTTTTACTGAGGTCTCTGGCTGGCTGCGTAAAGGAAGAGGGGCATATATCTAGTCATCCACAGGCCTGCTGTTGGTTGGAGGGATACCGCATGGGGATGGTGGGAAAGCACAGCTTTTGGAAACAGGTGGTAGCTGAACTCCTGTTTGGCTTGGAGCGCTGTGCTTCATACCTTATGACTTTTATTTCCTGTCCCTTCCTTGTCCTTGCTGTCCTCCAAGCGTCATCTTTATCTTCATTTCCTGACAGTCACTCCCAAATTCTGCTAACCATTTTTTCCCATTTTTGCCAGGACATTAAAGCACCATTATTGCTGCATAAGTGCTTATGCTTTGAGATTAATGGGTAGTGGGAATTCATGCATGAGTCACTGTTTCCAGCAGCCTGCGAGCACGAGCAGATATCGTTTGTGTTTCCAAGCCATCATCACAGCAAGGAGGGTTTAAAATGTACTTTCTCCTGACAAAACATAATTGGAAGCTCAGATTGCATATGATGCACATTTTGTGTGCAAGGTACATCGTGAAATTCTGGCTTGATAGTGTAGTCTGTATTTAAAACTCCTTTGTGCAGATCCAGTTACTGGAGAACCGAAGCATACATTGCACACATGGGATAGCATCTATACGTTAACTCTTCTCCTGGTTGTGTGTGGTTTGTTTCAGTGTTGTGTAAGTTTTGAGGAACAGATTAGCAGTAAATTGTCAAATACATAAGACCAGATAATGCTGTGTGTTGGGAAGTTAGTGCTGTGGATGTATCACTTTTTCTCATGGTGCCAGAGGGATGCATGGATTTTATACATTATACCTTATTTCATCCTTGCTGTTTAACTTGAAGGTAAGCTTGGAAAACATGAGAATTGGCACGCTGTGGTGTCTGCAAGCTACGAATCTACACCTGAACACAAACAAGAGATTTTTCTATTGGTCAGGGTAGATAGAAACCGGTTGTAAACAGTTGAAGGAGGCGGAAAAGTATCAGCAGTCTCAGATAGGGAGCCTCCCAGGTGTCCCTGAGCTCAGGCTGTGCTGCTGCCTCTGTGCAAAGAAGAGGACATGGCATCTGGCAGGGTATGACGTGGTGGGTACCATAAGAATGCCTGACCTGACCTAGAGGCTCTGCACAGGCATGGGTGCCTACCTGATCCTGCAGGTCAAGAAAACTGAACAGACAGAAAACTATGTTTTGGCACAGTTAGCTTTGCAGGCTTGGTGCCCTTGGCTCACTTGCTGTGGAGTCAGATGGGGGCAAGGCAACATGGGGGCAGGGGGTGAAGGTGAGGAAGGGTGGCCTTCCTGTCATGGTCAGCCTGGTATCAGCAAGCTGCCCCCCAGGCGATGGAGACCTGACCCATGGCTGGGTGCATAAACAGCTCCTGCTCGCTGTGTTGTGCCAGCACAGCTGTTTGTGTGGCCTTGTGCTGAACCAGATCACAGTCACTTTTTCCCTCCCCTGCTGTGTTATCTTCCAGGCTGATCAGAGCAACGCAGGGGCTTGCTGTGTAACTGCAGGAACATCTGTACTAACACAGCCCTGCGGATGACACGTGGGGAGGAGTGGAGGTGGTGGGAAATGTAAGGAGAAAGTAGAGGCTTTGTTGCTGGGGATGGGAATGCAACCTTGTACTCGACTGTCGGGAGGAAATATCTCCTTGAGATGTATTAGAGTAGCTCACTGGTGCTGTTTCATATGTCTGTTGTGTGCAAAATTATTTCTGGTGCAGGATAGTTAATGGCTGTCAAATTTCTCCCTTGGCAAAGCAAAGCTTTTAATTAAGGAGGGCAGGGTCTAAATTTGATGCCTTTTAAGAACTGGCACGCTCAGCTGAACTGTTGTGCTCACTTGGCTGAATCTGCTTTTTTTCCTCAGAGTTTTTTATTTTTGTTTTGAGATATCTGGAATTCAGGTTCATACCTGGCTTGGGACTATCTTTAAGTATGATCAAGACGTGACAAATACTTAGGTGTAGAGTATAGGTAGGGAGTGTGAGAAAAAAGTGAACGCTATGTTCTGCATCTCTCTGAAAATGCCCCAAATGATCTCTCAGGTTTTGCTCCTGAATGTGTGAAATGACATTTGGAAGTTCTTCCTGAGATACATCCTTCCCTTCTTTTATTCCTTTGGTTTCTGTGGAGACACAGCCTCTGTCACTTGCCTCTGTCCTCAATTATATCAATAAGGTCAGGTGAAAGATGTCATGCAGAATTTAGGGGTGGGAGGGGTATGGGATTCTTCTTTTAAATCTGTATCCTGTTTGCTCTATCAGCAAAACAAAAGGAATGGGATAGGGAGCAGTGAGGATGAAAAGATGCTTAAATTGACACTGCTATTAAAAAAGTAATAATAAATCAGACCTATAATGGGACTTTAGGGGAGGTAGTTCAGTTCTTTTACCTTAGCTAAAGGGAAGGAAGGAAGATAAAGAAACTTGAGTATCTCATTTTATTAAAGTCCTAGTGAACACTAGCTCTTGGTTCCATCTGATGCAGAATTGTGTTAGTTTGCCTTTACTAAGCATCCTTGCTCATCAGCCTGCTAGGAGACTAAAAAGGATTGGAGTTTATAATATGTTACAAAGGAGGCAAAAGAGGAATTAACTTCACTTCTATGCTTAATGTGTGGAAGTGGTTGAAGGTGTGTAATGTTTATGTAAATGGCTTCCTGCTGCCCCACAGCTGAATGATGTCTCCTCAGAGTGTCCAGAATCTGCTGATATCTCCTCAGGGGTCAGGCTTGGGAGAAACTGTTTTCATTGATCTGAGTAAGCGTACACCTGCCTTGGGAATGCAGTTGTTAACTTTTCAATATTCATTTCTGGAGGTGTCTCTGATGGTCCCCTGTGTCTGAGGCATGCAGTGCTGGGGGTAGTAAAACCAGTCAG